AGACACTTTACCGCTTGCTATATTGTAGCGCACGGTACCGCAACCGTGAAGTTTAGTCGTAGCACAAGTGGTTAAGACCATAACACGTATTAAATATTCATGAACCAAATTTAAGACTAACTACCAATGTTCAGCGGTCTTTCTCAACAACTAGAGGCCTAAACTTAAAAAATACGAAAAATAATACGCCGAAAGAGAAAGTCAAATACAAGTTTAGGAATATCAGAATTTAAATTTAATATATGATTTCACAGTAAGTCGATTGAATACAGACGCGCGATATTACTAATGGCGCGCGGAGTTGATTCCGTGATACAAAATGGTATTTGCTTGCTTCTCCTTATCTGTAACGTAAATACATATCCACCCCACAGAAAGCCTTCTATAAAGTCATCTTTATTCGAGCAAGTAGCCTTGACAATAGCAGGACCTTAAACAATCAGCCACCAAAGCTCATGCAAAACGATTCAAAAGAATAAGGGGATAAATTCCTACCAAAAATAGCTTTATAAATCCTGATATCAGGGTGTCAAATCGCTGATTACTACTTATTATATGTAATATAGAAAGATCATGATAAGTAGTAATTTATTTCGTATATTCAGGTAATTGCGAAGTGAGTCTTGCGCGCTCCGAGTCAACTAAAGACGACGAGAAATCTTTCGGAACATGACACCTGTAAATCTCTCTTTTCCTAAGATACGAGTGTAACAGGTGAAAGAAACATGGAGGACAACAGAAACATTCTATAATTTGAAAATACAGAATAAATTCCTTTTCACTCTTTTTTTTTTCTTCCTACTGGATGGTTAATAGTTTACGCAAAATAACTGGTATATGTATGGAGAAACTATAATTCAGACTTTTTACTCAGCATATAATATTAAAATATCTTAGAAAACTCAGGCTCATTAAGAAAATTGATAGAAATATTTGCTTCCACAATTTATGTTTAATTTTTAAAATTTTAAAGACACTATTATTATGCAGTCTTATTTTAGTACGATGCATAAAGACTAGCAGAGTGCGTAGACCTAGCTAATTCATAATTTTCACCAAGGACGGATTGGAACTTAAGAGAAAATCAACATTTTTGGTATTTTACCAATTATTAAGGACTCCAGAGGGTCTTTATGCTTCACAAAATAATATACGATGTGTTCTTCAAAATATTATATTAACACTAAGCAAATTTGCATGAAAATTCAATATATTTGATTATATGCATTACAAGCTAATAACATCAAACCACGACATAACCTTTTATTTATTTATTAATACCATGGACGAATTTTAGTAAGTATTTTTAAGCTACAAAGTCCTGCAAGTTGGTACTGAAGTAAAGAAACACAAGGCCTTCGTAATTGCAACTTATTCCTTCCGAAAAAGCATATAAACGTTACACATTGTGAACTGATGACAAAAACCAAAGGCTATTTTTGACAAAATGGTTTCATATCTTTTCAATTGCAGTAAAACTCAAATTACCTGAAACTCCATTTATTCGAATAATTTCCTTTTCTTTCCGAATTAAGCTGCTTGGTTTTATGAGTCTCTTTAGTTTCCTTTGTTGATTTAAGTAATATAAGAAGATAATGCGTCACAACTGTATGTGTATTTTAAGAAGCCATTAAATTTAGCTAAATGCATGAGTTTGTAGGTGAGTCAGTAACGCTCGTTAAATAAATAAAAATTTATTTCATCGGCCTTTTTTGGTTGCGTATTTAGGGGAAAATTGTTTTATCGTTTACTTTTACATAAACAGTATTTTGCATTTTAAGAAAATATTTTTACCAATTAAAAAGGGACTGTAGAGTTAATGACTAATTTAACAATCTTTTCTTGAAGCAATATCCAATAAATGAAGAAATAGGTAAATAAAAATTCCCATATTTACATTACAGTAAATATGTATTTAAATACGAGTATAGGCTTTCTGTTCTTTGACTGTTAAGATCCACATAAATAAAAATTTATTTACTAGATTTATTTAAAACGAAATAATAATGGGTTTTGCATTTAAATAAATAAAAATGATTTTCGTTTAATTATTACGGAATTAATTAATGCGAAATATAAAACATATGAAGCCTGCCGAAAAATGCTTTTAATATTTTGTTTAGAAGTAAAAGTATTTTTAATTGTAGAGTCTTTTCAGAAATAAAATCCAATAAATGAAAAATACAGATAAATAAAATTTTTCTATTAGATGAAAACGTATATTTGACTTTTAAAGAAAAGATACCACTTAATTACCCGGATTTTTCGAATATCCGGATGGGTTGTGGTTCCAATTTGATCGGATGTTTACAGGTTTACTAAAATCTAGATAGTGGCAGATTGCTATTCAGTATAAATCACTAACGGGATATGGAACTAATACAGAAACTAATCCAATAAATTTATTACACGCCGCAATCACTGACTATTTCTTAGGAAAGGGTTTGTGCTTATATACTGACTAATCCAAATGTAATTGAAATATGCATTTTATTAAGAGATAGCCATTTTTGGTTTCGGTAAAAGCTTATAACTCCATTCCATTTCATTTCCAGAACATTAACAAAACTATTGCACTAGCTGATTTTCAAGTTAGCCTGATTTCAAGAAAAGTTTGATAAGTTATTGAGTTGGCTAAGTTTTTAAAGAAGCTGTTATCATCTGAAGTTTTTTTAATGATAGTCACATGCAACAAGTTTCCCTAGATATTTACTTAAGCAGGAGATAAACATTTACTTCCTTAGCTAATTTATGCAGTTTTGCCGATCACTTTATAAATTTCAAATTAGGACCTTTTTTTAAATATAGTAGACGTATTTATAATATGTATGTAGAAGCAAATTAAAAAGTGCCTCAGTAGTATTAAGCCAGCTTATGTAGCAGTATTTGCTCTACAGTCTTATTTAACTGTAATAAGGAGGCATGCAAGTTAGCTTCTAAATATTCTATTACCGCATAATGTGTATTTGCTTTACTAAAATACTCTCTTGGTGTATTAAAGTTGCACGAGTTTTGTTTTCCGGTTTTAAATTTCCAGCCTTTTTAAAACCAGCATGTGTAGGGGGGAGATGGTTAGAAAATGCACAAACTTTTAACTACCTGTCAGTTATACGACACAGTGCAAGGAAGACATCTAGTTTTTCAAGTTTATAATTCAACCTGTGATAAGAGTTGGATTATTTGATTATGACAAGGTACGCTAGAGCTACCTTCTACGAAAAGAACACTTTCGTGGAGGATTTTATAAGGAAAACTGGTTCAAATTCAACCTACGTTAAGTATTCTTCACAAAAATGACAATAATTTCAGTTAATTGTATGATTTAGTTTTAAAGTCATATTTCCCGTGTATATGTAATGCAAATGTTGGTATTCCAAACAAGACAGCTAAATTTCCTCTAATGGATAATTTACTTGAATCCCCTAATAATGTACTTAATTAAGGGTTTAGCAGCCGTTCAATTAGAGCTGCATTACAAGTTCATTTGGGGTAATGAATAACTAAAAATTTATTTCGACAGAGCTTAAATACAGGAAAAACTGAGCCCAAGTTTGGTCTAAGGAATTTAGTGGAACTTTACAACAGAGAAAGAGAAATTTAAGCAAGAGAATTTCAAGGCTGAAACACTTTAGAAATCACCACGAAAATACGAAGAATTAATCGGAATAGTACATTAATGTTTTATGCTTCCTTCTTTGAAGTGTTTTAAAGATTTTAATGCTTCTAAGAAGGGTAATTATGACGTGTTTCAGCCCCTCTAAAACACATTACTGAATAATTCCTTGGATTAATCTTGGATACGACCCAGTTTCCCTTAGAAAGTCCTCTACCCTTAAGGAGATAGCCCCTGTGTACATGCCATAATCAAACTAGTTAATAATAGTTATTAAACTATTAAGAGAAAGTTACTAAAATAAGATGAAATTAAAAATAAAAACAAATTCATTTGCCAATTGCTTGATGAAAAATAAATTTACTTCTCTTCTGAATATCTGTATTTCATGTTTATTAACGGTAGGCTTCAGACAGCTATAAATAGGAGCAAAAAGTAAAAAAGAGGGCACACACTGTCGTCCTGTAGCTAGGAAGTCGAATTCGAGAGGAAGCTACAAGTGTTCAGTATTCTTAACCATTCGGTCCTTGGTCGAGGCTTATCGCATCATACATATCCTCTAGCAGACGATCTTTCTTAGATAATTTTCTGCAGAGAATCTTAAAACTTCGTTAGCCATAAAGAAGTAGTTATTCAGAAGCATTCTGTTTTGAAAAGAGTTAAGAAACCGCAGCGAAAATAATGAGCGGAAAAGATATTTTATCTGTTCCTTCAATCAAATGTGTTGAAACATACTAATCAAATGAAATGCAGATTAATTTACTACAAAAAATACATGAAAGGCAAACTGAATTTGACTCTGTGGATTAGATGTTTCAAAACTAATCAGAAGTAAAATATTTTGAGTAATCAAAATTATCTACACGATAAATTTTGACAGTTTGTCATAAATGAAAAATGAAGGCTAAATAGCAGACTAACCGAACAGTTAATTTCCCACATTTTATTAATTATAAACTCATTTAGTCCAAAGTTTCCTAAGGAATCTCATAAACTGATGTACAGCTTCCTACTTTTTGCAGTTAAAGAATAAAATTATGCTCTAAATACCAGAACGGTCCCAAAAAGTACTGATCTTTGAAAGCAATACTATGGAAGATAGAAGAATCCTCCATTATGCGGCAAATTTTAAGAAAATACAATTTTAGACTACGTATAAAGACTAAATTTATAAATGAAAAGTAAGTTTTTAATTACGGAGGAAATTATCAGTTATCTGAAAGAAAATGCATAAAAAAAACAAAAGTAGGCAAATCATTAAAATAATTACCAATAAATATTCTGAAAAAAAATTATTTTTAGGAGGAAAAAATTAACACTAACATACATAAAAATTATATACTTTTTAAAAACAATTAAGTAATCAAAGTTAAAAAAATGTACATACCGGCACGAAAGCACGTAATAAACCGCGAAGAAATGTGAAAAAGAACAATTAAAAATAACCAGTGTCGTAAAACTATAGTGAAACGGAAGTTATAATTGCATCCATTCATTTCACTCCACATATCTAGAACATAAGTCTGTTTGCACTAATATCCCATATCACGTTTTGTGCTTAATCTGTAGCCACCACCATAATATATCCATTTCTCTGGTAAGTCAAGAGTCTAAACAGCAGTTCAAAGCTTTGATAAGTTTACGTCGAAATTTTGTTTGACAAGCGGCAACATGCATTGACACAGGTAAGGTACCTTCTGAATTGGACACAGCGACTCGCACACCTCTCTCAGAGTGCTCTCTTTCATCGGACTGACTGAATACGGCACATGCTCAACTTTTAGGGCTGCTGCTATAGAGTGCCGGTTCGTCTCGCCAAGTTCGTTTCGATGGCTGCTGCTTGTCGCCAAGAAAAATATCGCCAAGTAACGGGGTTGTATTTACGATAAACCTAATTTTAGATCGCCTAGACAGAGTTTCATTTAAACATTTAGCATAACACAAAGATAAAGCATCTGTCGGTGTATATTATTAAATCTTAAGTGTTATCAATAATGAATATTTGGAAATTAAAATCATAAATTTCAATAAAAAGAAAATTTATTGTTTATTAATTTATATTTAAAAAAAAAATGTACTAAATTATAATTATTATTATATTATATATATTTATTATTATACATTTAAAATTATAATAAAGCACAATTTTGTTAGGAGAATATTTCACGAATCGCTTCGGGTTCGAATCCTGGCGAACAGGAGGGTGGAATGGAAGTTTTTGTGGCATCTCGCTTTTACGCAACATGAATAAAAGCCTGTTTTCCTTTCAAACCCTCCATGAATAGATCTATTCCTTTAGGCAGATAGCTCTCGCTAGCTTTGTTACATTTAAACAAAGAATTGAAAATTAAGACTGTTGTTTCAAATTTGTCGTGATCGTATCTGATAGTTCTTGGTTGGTTTGGTTTATTTAATTGCAGCAAAGCACTCGAGAGCTATCTGCCTAAGGAAAGGGATGCCTTCGTGGAGGACCTTCTAAATGAAACTGGCTGGTATACACGTTACACACGGGGAAACAAATGGAAATGCCAATGCAGCCAGCTCGTTCGCCAGGATTCGAACCCAGGACTGAACTATTAGTATTTAGCGTCTTAACCGCTCGGCCGCTGGTGGGCGATAGTTCTTGATATGCAGAAAAATGTTTTGTCCCTGCGTTACCAAAGTATTTGACTTCGAAACTTCCTCTTCAGTTTAATGCTTGAAACTATTTCTAAAGCTCTTTAAAAAAATTGAAAAAAGCACTTAAAAGTACATGAAATTTATACGCGGGCTCTGGTTAGGTTTTATTCATTATGACAAAACATTTGAAGGGTGTGTTCCACAGAACGTATGGAAAGGACTTATTAAAGCACCTGGTTGATATTCACGCCAAGAAAAGCCCATGAAGCCTGCACATTATGTCACTGGTATCAAGCCCGCGAAAATCTACCAGCTTTCAATAGCGCTTTCGAATCAACCCCTGACGAATTCCGCCTCACCTAGAGATTTGGATAAGACAAAACCGCTTCACAGACATACACCTGAAAAAGTATTTTTAGCATCTTGCTAATAAATCAGTCAGTCACTCAATCAAGGTGAAAGATTCTACTTATGTACATTACAAACTAGGCAAAGATTTTAAACTAGTAATGGATTTCGAGCTTATTAAGCGGCACTCATGCTTTTACTGTGCCTTGAATCCGATACTTTTTGACATCAGTTGAATAACAGTAAAAATTTTAACCACTTCATTACCAGACGAATCAAACTCAAAGGACAACTCGATTAAAAAGTGAGTAAAGTATGCTCATATCAGTCATCTTAACGCTTAATTCAAAGTCATGATTAGAGCGGCCAAGCGGTAAAACTGCTGAACACCGATAGCTCGTCCCGCGTACAAATCCCGGCGAATAAGCTCGCTGTATGGGAATTTGCATGATTTTCCCTCGTGGTAAAATTGAATACTAGCCAATTTCCCACAAATAGTCGATGTCACCAACGGCCGATGGGTTAAGACCACTGAATATTGGTAGTTCGACCTGGTTTGGGCACGATCTCAGGTGCACTGTCTGGCTCCATGGCTGTTTTTCTCGATGTATAAAGTGAATACGGGCCAGTTTCCTTAGAGTCTTCCACGAATGCGTCTCTCTTGTTAGTCTGACAGCCCTCATGACTTGGCCATATTCAGATAACCTAACCGATATAAAGTACTCCACGAACGTATTCCTGCCCTTAGGAAGACAGCTCTCGATCGCTTTTGTCATTATATAACAAATCCCATATAATAACATAAAAAGGATTCTAAATCGTCAAATAATGCTTGCGGAAAGTACACAATACTTGTAAAATTAAATAAAGTTTTATTTTATTAATTTTTACAGAGGATTTGTTTAACTTCAGACAACATGCTCCACTGTAATGCCTATTTGCACTTCGTTCAACTTATGTTTATGAGTAAGCCCCCTAATGGCGAGTTGCTAAATCTGTGAAGCTCTTTCTGGTTTCGGTTCCTAGAGATTGAGCCGACTGATTGCTTTGGGTTTTCGTGCTTTTCACCTGAGTGATGAATGCGAAGCAATTTCCCTTGGAAACCTTCCAGGTAGGCACTCTTCGTAAGGATGCAACCATTGAGTTACTTTATAATTCGCATAATTTCACAAATATTTATTTAAACGAACAATAAACACTGATTAATGAACAGTGAAACTGACAATGGGCATTGATCAACTCATCAATATTTACTTATCTAAATCTAAATAAAAAACACTATTTATATAAATGACAAAAATATCTTTATATAAATTAATGCATTTTTATAAGTTTCATATTTCCTGACAATAGTCCGAATTAACTTTTTGAAATGTTACCTTAATTACGTAAGATTGATCTGACAGTAGTTGAATAATATGAGGTTGATGATATTTAAAGTTTTTGAAGCTTAATAAAAAATGAAGTTTAAAATATATTTTGGAGTAGAATTTTTCACGATTACTTAATTCCCGATGCTTAGCTATAATTAGTTCACTGCATATAGCATTTTGTGCGAACGTATTTTACTTAGCATTAATTTCGGTTCCAAGTCTTATTATGACCAGTTGCGATTAGACCTGCAGTTTTTTAAAGTGTTAGTCTGTGTGTTAATCATTTAATAAAACCTCAAGAGGAAACACAATATGCAGTTTTGAAGCTATCTACAAAATGTTTTTAAAAATACATCGACAAATTAACTTCTTGGAATATGAAAGAAAAAGTGTTGCCTTTGACTTAGTTTTTATTCTGTATTTAACATGTAAGTATAGTTAACGTTTTCACATTTTGAATACACAATAACATGCCACTCGATAAAATAATACGAATTACATGAAGCACTTATCACTTCATATGCAATCAGACTTTTTAGTAAGTTATTTATAAATAAATCAACACCTTGATAGTGAACGCATCGCTGTATATTCCAAATAATTCAAATGAATGCTATTTCTGTGTTGCAAATCTATACTTCGTTTAATATGGATTCCCCCCCTTAATACTTCAAAGAAATAAAAGTTTAAAACGAATAAATAAGTAAAATTATCCTTAGAACAAAAATTCGTAAGACACTTTTTTTTTTTTGTAAAAAAGACGAGCAACTTGTTTGAGGGCAGTTTCGAGCTCAATAGAACTAGAGCCTTTTTACGACTATAAGACATACGCATACATTAACCTACAGTAATTATTTTTCAGCGGTGCCGTTTACGAGCAACATTTCGATATGACCCGGAAGATGACAGATTTAATTGAAATTCATCGCCAAACTCGGCGACCATAAATACAGTAACCCTTCTCAAACTACAGAACGCCTCGCGAGTGCAAGGGTAATTCTAAAAAGGTAAAGTCACGTGGTACTCATTTTTCCTCAGCAGGGATGGCGAAAGGCACAGAATAAGACAGATGCCTGGCCGCAAGGTGATAGAATATAGAGCACTGATCCATGCAGATCTAAATCAAGGGAGGGGGGGGATAGATCCGCCCTTTTTCAAAAAGGGATATCGCTGAGGAGCTTTTTGATTCCATTCATTGAGAAACTTCCTTCGCGGGGTTTTCGTTTATCTTAAGTTCCGCTCAGGAAAAAGTTTTCCGTTACAATTACAGTGCGCCCTTTTGCAACTTTTCAGTTTTTTTCCCCCATTTTTTTTCAACCATATTCTGCCACATTACCGCGTTGTAAAATTACATATGCGCACGTGGACGGACATTTCACTCGAAGTAACTCCCCAAGAAATCACATTCATCAGAAAACTCTTCTGTCAGGAGGAAAAAAAAAAAAAAAAAAAAAAAAAAAAGCAGCTATAGCAAGGTTCTTTACAAAAGCAGTCCATTAAATTAAACTGATTATCCAAATAGTCAGTTAAATTACTCAATATTATAAATTAAGTTGTTTATCCAAATAGAAGATGTGAATAATTAAAGGTATAATGATAACAGTGGCGTGACAAATCCCACATTTAAGGAAAATTCAGGAACTAGGTAAGTATTAAAAAGCAGGAAGGAATTAAGATAAATAACGCTGCAATATAGAAATTCTAACTGAAATATTTAATTTCATTGACAATTTAATCCTGTAAGTAATTGCGTAAAATGCCAAACAGCAATGCGCTATAAACTAGTTTTTTCAGTCGTCTAATGAGCAAAGGTAATCAAGAGTTATTCATATCCGAAAGCTC